TTGGCTGCAGAGGTGCCCTTCACCTGGCGAGGGAGGCAGTTCTTGGGAAACCTCCTCCCATACCTGTTGGCGCACAAGGAGCTAGGAGGCCAGAGTTAATCCATGAACATGTCAAGTATCCAAATTACCAACAGCCCTTCGTCAGCTGCTGCAAGAGTGGGAGTGTGGCCCCTTGGACTGATAAACCCAAGGGGCCTGGGGCCAGCCAACGGTGAGGATGAGGATGAGGCTGAGGATGAGAGGCCTCCAAGGGCTGGAAGGGCTGGGTCCTAGAATGCAGGCCGTGGGGTCTGACAGAGACAGCACTGGCTCGGAGGCCACAGGACAACAAGGCCTTCCCCAGTCACTGGGTCCTTCTGGAATTCATTTCAGCTCCATTCCATTTAATAAATATTTTTAAGCAACAGGGTATGCACGACCAAATGAGGGACATGAGGAAAATTAACACAGAACCTTTGTCCCAAAGAGCTCACAGCTGAGTTGGAGAAAGAGGCATGGGTACACTTACTACCATCAATACCTCCAGCCACCGCAGAGGCAGCAGTTGCCAGCACTGAGATCTCATTACACACTTAAAACAGCCCTGGGAGGTGGACACTGATATCTTCATCTTAAGGAGAAGACACTGAGGATCTGACAGGTTAAGCAAGCCATCTAAGGCAACAGCTGATGTGAAGGGTGGTCAGCATCTAAGTCTGACTGTAAGATCTGTGCCCTTAGCCACCACTGTGACCTGTGACCTATGATAATAAAGGCAGGAACACACCGTGTGTGCTAGGGAAGAGCCCTGAGCCTCAATTTACTCATCTGTAAAGTGGGGATACTCACCTCTAGTTTCCTGAGTGACAAGCAACAGGTCTGTATCACTGCAAGACATGTTCCTACTCTTGTTCTGGGGGCTCCGAATAGGCAGCGGCAGGAGCTGCTCTTGGAGGGTGGAAGCCAAGCCCTTCGAGGTGGGCCGTGCAGGCAGGGGGAACAGTGTGAGCAAAGCCTGGAGGTGTGACCCTGCAACTGCTCCAGCAGGCCTGAGAAAGCTGGGGACTATTTAGCAGAGAGGAGAGCCTAAGGCTGCTCAGCACCTCCCCTCTCCTTCCCCTTCCCTCTGCAACCCCAGGAATGGTGCTCCCAGCTTCTTTTTGCACTTTCTCCTTTCCAGTCCCTCCGCGACCCACATAACCTGGCTCTGTACACATCACCCATTCTTGCCAAGGTCCTCAGTGCCAGCCTGTTGCCCGCCCAGTGGTCATCCTCAGGTCTCATCTTCCCTCCTCAGCAACCTAGACATGCTCCTGACCTCCTTCGCTTGGAAACACCACCCTTCGCTGGCTCGTTTGCTTCCCTCCATGCTGGGCTCTCCTCCACGTCTCCTTTGCTGGCTCCATCCTCTGTGCCGCCCCTGGATGTTGCTGTGGCTGGTTCCAGACCTACTTCCCGTCAACACATTCTCATGGGGAGACTCATACATTCTTGAGGCTGACCCACCTCTATGTGGGATGTCCAAGCCCCTCTTTCTAGCCCAGTGTCCACCCTGAGCACTGGATCCATGTACCCATCTGCTTGCAGGGCATCTTGACCTGAATGTATTCCAGGCAGTTGGAACTCAAAATGAGCCCAGGGTACTCATGCGCTCCCCCAGTAGCTGCTGCTCCTTCTGGGTTCCCTCTGCCAGGGCTTGGCATCACCAGTGCAGGCTGGCCAAGTCAGATTCTGGGAGTCATCCCTCATGTCTCCCTCACTGACACCCAGATGCTCTCTCCTTTCACCATCTCTTGTGCCTTTCTCTCCTCCACATCACCATCGCCAATGCTGCAGAACAGGCCTGCACCATAGTTCCTGGGATTCCTTCCATGGACTGTCCCACCGCACTCTTCCACAGCCTGCAGAGAGGTCTCTGTGAAATGCAAAACTGCCTGGGGCATCCCCTGTTCTGAAGCCTTTAATGGTGTTAGAGACAAGGCCCACACTTCATACACACCACTCAATGTTCCTGCCTCTTCACCACCCACATTCTCTGTCTCTGGGTCTTGTGCTACAGCCAGACTGAAACCATGGAGCAGATTTACCTGCCTTCACCCGAATCCTCCCAATCTTTCTAGGCCTTAGGGCTCAGCTTGAGAGTCACCTCCTCCAGGAAGCCTTCCTGCTGCCCCAGGATGAGTTAGGGCCCCTCTTCTGCTCCCATAGCAGCTCTGCACAACAGCTCTCTTCCTACAGCGCACTGATGCTGTCTCTCCTCGCTCCCTACCTGAGACCATGGAGTCTTTGAAGTCAGGGACTGACCTTGTGCTTTATTTTCCTACAGAGCTAAGAAATATTTGCTAACATCAAGGATCTGGGAAGGGTCTTGGGGGCAGATCCTGGGGGTGCTTTTAGGAAATGGGTTACTCTATGTGTAGACACTGCAAGTTGAATATGCAATATCCTTTCTCCCCTTTTCCCTAATAGAACCCCAATTTCGTTCTGGAGACAGCAATGGTGTTAACTGCATTTCTTGGCCTCTCTCACAGAGTGTAGCCCTGCGACCCAGCTTGGGCCAACAAGACTTAAGGAAAAGTGGCTAACTGTGCATAGGAGAGATCCGCTTCCCTGATGAGAGCACAGCCCCTCCCCGTTTCCTGTCTTCCACCTCCTTCCTGGAATTAGGAGAGGAGGCTGGAGGTGGGGTAGCCATCTTGTGACAATGAGCTAACCATAAGGATGAGAGCCACACACCAAGGAATCCTGAAGGAGCCCAGGCCATGACCCCTCGACTACCTCTTATTCTGAGAGACAAATAAATCTCATTGAAGCCACTTTGCTTAGGGCTACACTATATTTAGCCGAACTCCATCTAGTAAAGGCAGATAACCATCTGTGAGCACTTCTGGAGGAGATGCTGGTCCTAACAGAGGGCAGAGGGCAAGGTTAGGAGAAGGTGAGGGGTGAAGAGGCTGGCCTTTCTGGGATTCTATCAAAGGACCAGGGCAAGGGCTCACTCAGAGCTTGAGGAAGAGGCTCCAGCCTTAGGGGCCCTAATGTGTCTGTGACCTTGGCCTTCTCCTGACTCCACTTGGTTTCACTTGTGAAATGAGGTTGCTGGAGTAGATAACTTTTCAAAGGCTATAGTGCTTCAGGCTTGGGCTTTGGAGTCAGACAAAGCTAGGTTCAGGACCCAGCTCCATCACTTACTAGCTGTGTATCTTGCAGTCAGTTTTTTCGTTGACCTCCCTAGCATTGCCGTCTGTAAAATCTGGATTGTGATAGTACCTATAACTGTTGGGCTAATGCTGGGGATCTGCGGAATCACGCACACGGGTGCCCAGCAGATTGCCTGGCACAGTCCACCATGCGTGCTCCAGCTCAGTGCCCAGCATGCACTGAGCGCTCTGTGGTGGCAGCTGTCCTTGCATTCCAAATTCTCCAAGAGGGAAGTCTGGTGACCCAGAGTTTCATGCCTGCTCTGGGTCTGGGGCTGCTGCAGGGCTCTAGAAAGCCTCTCTGGATGCCCTTCACTCTGTGGGTGAGGGAAGTGGCCAGGGGCCACCCGCTGTCCGATGGCTTTTCCTCCAGTACTGCATGCTATTGTGTGCAGGGTCCTTGGACCGCAGTGGAGAGGAGAAGCCCCCGCACAGAGGACAGCCCAGACCAGGCTCAGAAAGGCATCAGACCTTGGGTAGAAATAAGAAACCTATGTGTTCCATCTGTCCTGTGGCCTTTGCCGGAGCCCAAGCTTCCTGGGAAAAGCAGGGTGGGCTCCTGCTTTTCATGGAGTGGGAAGGGCTTGCAAAGGTTGGCTCTGCAGGGAACTACAGGAATTAGGGAACTGGAAAAATACTTCCAGAACTGGACTCCTTGCTGCAGCTGCTTTTGGCAGAACTTTCTTATCCTTCTCTTGATTTTCTCTTGAAAAGCCTCACCTTCTTTCTCTTCTCTGCACTCGGAATCGTGGTGGAAAAAAATCTTGAGTAAAAATAAAGCTGCTGCTCTATTCCAGCCCTGAGAAGGAGGCCAATGGGGTGCGTCCCGTCGGTCCACAGGGGCCCCCCTCTCTCCCACAGTACTTCAGGCCAGACCCAGCCGTGCTGACACTTGACAGCGCCTGCAGTTTACCTTGGCTCAGGTCCAGAGAGTTCGGGCCCAGCCCGGGGCGGCCCCCACTTCTCCACCTTGTTACCGGCCCCCTCTCCAGTGCAAAGAGCAGTTTAAATATAAATCAGTCCTCGACACAAACAGAGCCTCAGCAAGTCTCGAGCCATCACCGGAACAGAGAGCCCAGGTTTTCGGCGAGTGCAAACAAGCAGAGACCGGCTCCGTAAATCTCCCCCAGCGCGTCGGGAGGGGCGCGCGGGCTCCCCTCCACCCCTCTCCGGGCTCCCTCAGGCCCCTCCAGCACCCCTCGGTCCTTCTCCTGCCTCCTCCTGCCCCTGTAGCTCTGCCAACCCCTTCTCTGGTCCCCTCCAGTCTCCAACCCGCCTGTCCCCGCTGCACCCACCCTCGGCCCGCCAGTCTCCCAGGCGTCCTCACCCTCCTGCAGCCTCCTGCCCCCTCCAGCCTCTACCTCCCCTCTCCAGGCCCGCCACCTCCCCACCCCTCACCCTCCAGGCAGGAGGGACCTTCTCCAGGGGCGGTCCAGCCTCGCTGGTCCACACTGAGCTCCTGGAGCAGAGAGGCACCCCCGGGCCGGCAACGAGCTCAAGCGCGACGGGCGGCCGCGTCACACCTGTCGAGGGGGGAGGGGGCGGCATAGGCGGGGGCGGGGGCCCGCAGCGCCTTTGACACCCGAGGAGCAGAGGGAGGAGGGAGGACGCGTTTCATCATCGGCGGCGGCGGCGGCCACTTATAAAACTTCTGGGCGCGCACTCTCTCGCTCAGTCTCCGCTGCGCGCCTCCTCCGGCCACCGCCGCCGCGCTCGCCACCCACCGGTCCGGCCGCACCCGCCCAGGCGCCCCGGCCCCGGCTCGCCCGGCCGCCGCCCCGACCCGGCCGGAGGGGACGCGCCCCGCGCCGCTGCCGCCGCCGCCGCCGCCGCCGCCGGCCCGCCGTCGCCCGCCACCATGGGGCTCCTGCCCAAGCCGGGCGCGCGCCAGGGCAGCGACGCCTCCTCGGACCGAGCCCGCCGCTGTCCCCGCTCTATCTTCAGCAACATTAAGGTGAGCGGAGAACCCGGGGCCGTCCGCGGGGCCCGCCGTCGGCGCTGCGGAGCCCAGGAGGCGCCGGGGCGCCGGGCTCCCTCCTCCGCCCTCGGGACCGCGCTCCGGACGCATCCCCGGGCCTGGCACGGCGGGCGAGGGGACCCCTGCACACGCGAGCGAGTGCAGGGCGTGTGTGTGTGTGTGTGTGTGCGTGCGTGTGTGTGTCACACGCCCTCGTCAGACTAAGAAACAGGACAATGAAAGTACCTGCTTATTGGGCCAACTCCTCTCGGATAGTCTTGGCGCTAGCCGAGGAAATCGTCCTGTGCTTTGATTGAATAAGAACATCTCCCCCGGCACTTTTTCCGTCTCTTGCGGGCAGTTTACGTCGTTAAGGGGGTGGGCTTGGAGGTGCCCGGGTCTGGCGCCTTGTCGGGGCCAGGCCGTTATCCCTCTGAGATGGAGATCAGAGCCCAACTCATCCTGGGGTGGGAGGTAGAAGGGAAGATCTCCTCCTCCGGGCTTTCATCTTGCCCAAGAGCAGCCGCGGGGACTCTGCGACCTCGCTGGGGCTGCCTGCGGTGTTCAGAATTCCCCCAAGGCTGGCAACCAACTCTGCAAGCTTGGACCAGTTTCCTGGTCTGGAAAGCGCCCCAGGAAAGCAGGGGCCCTCAATGTGTTCAGTAACATCTAGGCAGGTGCCTCTGGCCTGGCAAGCTTGGGAGAGTGGGTCAAGAGAAGATGGGGTGTAGGCCAGCTGTATGGTGAGCACACTTTCTTCCCCAGGGGGTCAGGAATGCTTTCCACTCCCTGTCGGGTCCAGGGGAACCTGGAATGGTTGAGTCCACACTCAGGCTCTTTTGCCCATTCTGGCCGGGCAGAAGCAGCTGAGGAATGCACCTCCTGAGCGGGCAGAGCTGCGGTGGTGAGGGTTGCAGAGCCCACATCAGGGCTCCTTGGGGTCAGGGTGGGGATTACCATGCAGGGAGGCTGTTTTTCACAAGCATACCATCAGATGGGGCTAGGTAAGGCCTCCAACTGGTGCAGTTAAAGGGAGCCCAGATCACACAAAGGGAGGATGCGGGGCTCTGTGGACTGGTTATGTGAGTGTCCAACAGAAAGGGATCCTGAGGTCACAGTGGATCCTACCTATATACTTACTCATATGGTTACCAGTGGAGCTGGGATCCCCACCCCTGCTCCTCCTCTCTCCCCACACCACAGTAAATAAAGGCTGAACTGATTTTGTGGTTGGATATAAACAAGACAAATTTTTACATAGTTTAATATAATCTTCTGATTTCCTCACCTATGGCCAGACCTGGATGAGAATGCTGTGTGCAGTCTTGGTCCCAACGTTTAAAAGAGTCTTGGAGAAGTTTCAGCAGAGAATTGTGGAAAATTTGGTGTTTATAACTTAAGAATTGGGAGGGAAAGGTGGGGGCAACGGTTGGGTGATCTGAAGAGAGAGGGGCTCAGGAGGGAGCCAGGGTGGGGCAACCGACCCACCCCCCCATTTTCACCAAGAAGGGCAGGAAGGAGGCTTGTCCCGGAACAGATTCCTGACAGGGAGGGTGACCCTAAAGGAGACAGAGCCACTTAGACGCGCTCTGAGTTCCTAAAATAAATAAGTTTATGGTAGCAGTTTCTTTGAAGATCTATAAAAATAGGATAATTTATCACATGCTGATGGTTTAGCCACACGTGCCTGAGGCCTGGGCCCAGGCCAATTTGCCTCCTAAAGGCTCATACTAGTTAAGAGTTTTCCTTAACTATAAAAACCAGATTCGCTTAATCATTGCCTCCATTCATGTGCAGTAATTCTAGGACCTGAGCTTGGAGAGGTTTCCACTGAGCTTCCGTTATCAGCCTGACAGCAGGTACAAGGCTGGATGTCTCAAGGCAGACCTGGAGTCTGGAATTTGCTTAATTAAACTCCCTTAAGCCTTTTCTCCCAAGGGGTGGCGCTGGCTGTCTGGGGGCTTGGCTATTTGCTGGGTGATTTCTTCCTCCCAATAAGCGACTGGAGGACTGCCCTGCACCCACCCCGTGGGGTGTGGACTGCACATGTCTTGTGACTTGTGTGATATGGGGGGATCAGGGGACACCCAACCTGAGGAGTCATCATTTTTTCTAGATTCCTCATTGCTGGGACAGACTAACCAATAGGTTTTAGGGCATTCCTGCAAAACCCTCCATACCATATGGTTTAGGGGAAGGAGAGAAAGCCAGGGGCCTGGGCTCCAAGCCCCAGGCCAGCTTCCTACTAACCAGGTGACACAGGGGAGCATTCCTCTTCTTTCCTGCACCTCAGAGTCTTTGGGTGAAAAAACTGGGCAATATGAACAGTTGCCCCTCGTGGGGCTCTGTCAGGATTTTGTGGATGAGGCACAGGAAAAGGGCTTTGTCACCCATGCTGGGCTCTCTGGGACTGGCATCCAGGTGAGGTCAGCGCTTGCCGCCACACACAGGGCTGCACGTTCAAACATCATTTAGGATCTATTGTTCCACCAATAGTTAAGAGAAACTACAATTAATAATGTCCAAAATAACAGTAATGGAAGCTAACAGTAGTGGAGCTGTCTGAATATACCAAGAATTATGGAAATATTTTACACGTATTTAATCCTCATTACAAATCTACCAAGTGGGTCCTATTAGTGTCCCCATTAATGATGAGGAAACAAGGCTTTGCGAGGCTGGTCCCTTGTGCGTGGACACATAGCCAGAAAGGAGTGGAGGGTAGAGGAACCAGGTATGTGAGACTCCAGAGTCAGAGACCCTAACCACTGTGCAGCCCAGCCCTCACCATCACAAGGTGCTGCTCAACTCTGGTTTAGCATGTGGGGATACTATGGGTGTGCTTGTTCCAGGTGGTCAGGGCCTTCTCCAGGCCCTGGTGACACACACGTCCCAGCCGTGATGTGGGGGCTGCGGTGGCTGCAGTGTGTCTGCTCCCATGTGCTAACAGTCTCCACCCTCTCATTCCTCCTAACTCTCATCTAAAGAGCCTGGTGACTCCCACTCTAGGGCTGAGGTTTTCCACCTCCTCTCGCAGGTGTCAACACGATTGTTTCTAGTCTAGGGACAGTCTCTACTGTCTCTGGCTCACAGAATTCTTAAGAAGTGGAGGATCCACTTGACCCCATCCTTGTCAGAGGGAGCAGTTTGTCATCCAGAACTCTGAGACTCTAAATTAAAACCAGGTTCATTCAACGATTACAGGAGCGGGGGACGAGGGGGAGGTAGGAGGGAGCCTTTGTGGCGAACTTTTCCTGCCAGCCTCAAACAGATCTGTTTCTCCTAAAATGTAACTTTGGGGGCCAAACTGAGGTTATCTTACAGAAGGAGGGGTCGATTGGTAACTACTGCCCAAATTTCAGGAGCTCCCACACCCGGGGCCCCAGTGTAGTGGAATCGTGTATACCCAGTCAGTTGGGGAACATTCCAGGGTGGGTGGAGGGCTGGGGAAGAACGGTGGGATGAAAGGCATAGACAAACCTCAAAGCTTGGCCTCAGTGACCCTGTGACCTCTGACCTAGGAGGGAGGCCCAAAAAGGAGGGAGATGTACTTTGTCCTGGTCTGTGTCCACAATGCCCTGAGGCCCTTGACCCCAGCTAGGGGGAGGCATCTTGGACTTAACTTCTCATTTTCCAGGGGAAAGGGCCAAATCCCAGCAACCTGCAGTTCCTGCATCAGAAAACACTCAGATCAACTCCCCCGTGCCAAAGAACTCCTTACCTGACCCACTCCTCCCCGCAGTGGTGTTTCTCTGACATCGTGGGCAGCATTTATTGTGTTCTCCAGGCGTCTGTCCTGAGAAACCTGCCTTGCCCTGCTTGTTGGGGGGTGGGGGGCAATGGGAATGGGTGGGGTGGGGTGGGGGTCACAGGTCATTCAGACCCTCTCCTCATGGGATGATGCTAAAGCCCTTCGTGGCTTTCATTTTCTCTCCTGGCGATGAATTTGTGACCTGTGCTGCCATAGAACAAATGGAAGAGCAATTTATGTCTCACAATATAGATGGCTCATTTCATCCCTTTCTGATCGTTCTCTTTTGTCTATGGAGTGACTACTTTTTTTCCCCTTCTGGGAGACCCAGACGTGGCATCGGGATGTTGGAATGAGACCATGGCTTCCCCTCACCTTCTTTTGCTCTGCTTGTGGAGTAGGTCATGGTCCATGCAGAGGAATGTGGGCGGCTCCCCACCCCTCCTTGGTTCCGCTCATCACACCCCTGCTTGGTTTTATCCTGGCCCATGGTTTTAACCATCTCTAGCTGTTACTTCACCCGGTTTCTGTGTGTGGAGGCACTGGCCAACAGAGAACCCGAGTTACAGGCCAAAGCTGGAGAGCCGGTAATGGTGGAGCTGAGAAGTCAGGGGTGCTTGTGGGCAAATGGGCCCTCAGAGGACCTTGTGTGGGGCTGGGCTGGTTTGGCCCCGTTCTACATCATAAGTTCACTGACGTATACTTGGGCATTGACCTTTCAGTCTCTGTTGAGGAAAGACGTGAAGAAATAGCTGAGTGAATTTACGCTTGTGTCTACCCTGCAGGACCAGTCTAATGGGTTGCCCCTACAGCACCCGGGGGCTCCCTTACAAGGGAGGGACTCTGGGAGAAAGCCAACTGAGTTCTAAGTACCAGACAAAGCTTGATATATTTTGAGCTTTTAAAAAACTTTTTGTTTTGAAACAATTATAGATTCATGGGAAAAATAGTAGTGAGAGGTCCTGTGTACACTTCATCCCATTTCTCCCAATGATTCCATCTTACATAACTACCATATGATACCAAAAGCAGGTAACTGGTATTGCTACAATGTGTGGGTACAGTTCCATGCCAGTGTTTCACAGGTATAGATTTGTGGAACCATCACCCCACCACTTCAATACACAGAACCATTCCATCCCCACAAAGATCTCTGTGTGCTCCTTGATAGTCACACCCACCCGCTTCCGACTACTATCCCTAACCCTTCCCAACCACTAATTCGTTCTCCATTGCTGTTAATTTT